AAGTCGTGTGCCACATTACAGGGATGTTTTGTGGGTCCCCGGAGGATATCTGTCACACAACCAGCCCAATAATCAATACTGGCCTGTGATTGGAGGTCAGGATTCAGGGTTTCAAACCAGCTCAGACCATAATTTTCCAGATTTCCCCTTTTTATTTAAAAAAAACACTTCATTTGGAGTCCCCGCTCCCCCCGATAGGACGATTTAGAGGGATTATCTTTCACGTTTCAACAGATTTAGAATAAATAGTTGGATTTGGAGGGCTGTAGCATCTCAAGTGTTGAATTAAGGGGTCAAAGCTGTTAATTAACCCGCGTTTATGGGTTGTGTTGCATCGATACTTTATGTGGGCCACAAGCTGCAGGACGCAGATATGAACATTAAAGGTCCAGACACATTTTCCAGAACCGGAATAAAAAAAGCTTTTCAGGAACTGATTCCCATTCTGGGGGACCTCCAGGTTTATTTTTAAGGCGTTTTCGAGGGTTTATCGGTGTGTTTTTGTCTTTTAATTCCTTTGCTGGTTTGGTTTTCCTCCTGTCTGAAGTTTATTTTTGGTCCCTGGAGTTTTTAGTTGGAAGTTTGAACTCTTATCCTGGTTTATAATTATGAAGATTTTAAGGTTTTCCTTTCTTCAGACTCCTTCCTTCCTTTGTTGTCGTTATTCTGCCTGATTCTGGTCCCTGTTTAATTCCACTTATTAAAGTCTTATTATAGTATTTTTTGATCAGTTAGCCTAAAATGTTGTTTTATCGTCTATTTTCATCACATTTTTCGTCACATTTATGTAAATACCTGGGTCAATTCACATCATTTATTTCCCTAATACACTTTTTACATTTTTAAATCTCTATTCTCTCAAATAAATGTGCATTTTCTGTTACATTTTTAAATTATTACTGCACTTATGTATTTAGTTCAAGCTAAATTTCTTTTTTTTTTCTAAATATGAGGTGTTTTCTGACATTTTCTTCTTTCATTTTCTTTCATATGTGGTTTCAAAGGTTGTTATTTTCTGCTAATTATTAATAAACCGTTCAGATCTTTTTTTTATACCAAAAGTGCAACAAAATTAAAGTATTTTCCTAGATTTTCTGCCAAATTGGACTGATTGATGGATAGAAGTTTGAATCAGGACATTTTAGAGTTGGAGGCTCTTCTGCCTTGTAACTTCCTTTTGTCCAAAAGGAGGAATAATGTGTTTAAATAACCAAAAACCTTTCAATAAAAGAGCTTTTTTGTCATTTTTTATATTAAATCATGAAAGCAGGTCAGTTTGGGGCCTTCACATGTGATTAAATCGAGGCTTTTTGTGCAGGTTTCTGGATTTGATTCAACAATCCAGGAGGCTAAATAAAAGAGCCTTTTAATAAAAGAGCCGTTTTGTAATTTTTTTTATGTTAAATTATGAAAGCAGGTCAGTTTGGGGCCCTCTCATGTGAACAAATCGAGGCTTTTTGTGCAGGTTTCTGGATTTTGATTCAACAATCCTGGAGGATTTTTAGATATCTTCTAAACTATTTGGTCAGAGGTGAATTTTAGCCAATCGTTGAGCCGTTCTGTGTCCGGTTAATGGCCGTCCTCTCTGTGTTTGCAGTGCCAGCTCTCCCAGGCTCTGAACGGCGTCTCCGACAAAGCCAAAGACGCAAAGGAGTTCCTGGTTCTGCTCAAGAACATGCTGCAGCAGATCCAGGTAAGAGCCTGCATGTTAATGCATAAACATAAACATAAACATAAACATAAACATAAACACACCTGTCAGGGAAGGAGTTCTACACGATCATTCCATCCATGACTTCACATCCCATATTAGCAAAAAACTAAAAAAATGACCTCAAAGTTGGCAAAAACGGCCCCATAAACAGCCTCTAAGTCCAACACTGTAACATACAGTATTTTATTAGTAAGACATTTTAAAACATGTTCTGTTTGTGGACATCTTGAGAAATCCATGAATGAACACAGTTTCCCCCCCCCCAAAAATAATACTTTTTTATAATGTTTTAAAAAACACTGAAAAAAATCCTGACTGAAATGATCATAATTCATGATCATTCGATCCATGACTTCCCATCCCATATTAATAAAAAACTAAAAAAATGACTTCAAAGTTGGCAAAAATGGCCCAATAAACAGCCTCTAAGTCCAATAGACTTCTAACAACCAATCAAAACTAAGACAGACTCAGTAAAAAATGGCGTGTTTAACATGGAATTTCACAGATCTTCTGCTTTCTGTATTAAAAGTTAGGTTTTACCAATACTTTATCCATGTGAACAAAATAAGTTTACGACAAAAGACTCTTTGGCTCTATGGCGCCGCCCTAGTGGCTCCTATTGAAGTTTTTTCAAAAATATTTGTAAATGGAAAAAGATGGGGGAAGGAAATATCTTTTATTGTTTTAATGTGGTTTCTGTGGGAGGACAAACATGACACAAACATTCTTAACATTTTCCAATGCTGTAAAAATGTGTGGAATAAATATTACATTTCAACATTTCTGTGAACAAAGATTTGCGTGGACAGTTTGAGTCTGACCGGCTTTAGCCAGTGGGCAAAACTATGAAAATCCTCATTCGTGTCATTAGATTAAGGTACAGGAACAAAAACTAAGGTTCATCTCCCAGAGGGGATCATTCAGAATCAGAATCAGAAATACTTTAATAATCCCACAGGGAAATTATTTTTGTTACTAACTCCAGAAATACAACAGCATATACATATATACATGTCTATTCATATATATGTAACCCAAATCATGTCCTATGATCGCTTAAGTTTTAAATCAAATACAGGTAAAGTAAATCTCTGCAACATATTTAAATGCATAGAACAAGAAAATAAACTAAAAAAAACAACCCTCAGTAACATCTGGGTTACATATACATGTACAAAATTCCACACAAACTATAAATAAATATATGCATATGTAATTATATGTATATAATCACACCTATAACTATAAATGTGCCTTTGTCTTTGTTCCTGTCCCTTAATAAAGTCCACAAATGAGGATTTTCATACTGAAACTGTCCAGTCATGAGGGTCCTAAGCTGGGAATGAATGGGAATAGGAGATAAACAGAAAATTCTTTTGACTCCACACATTTCCCGGGAGCTAAATGCGCTGAATCAATGAATTAGACGACAAAAAACGGATAGAAAAATGTGTGTTTTTTCCCTGCTGTGCGGATGAGCTCCTCACAGCATCTGCCACACACACGTGACCACATTAAGGCTCTTTAAACTGAAAGAGGAGGATTGTGTCGGGCAAAACAACACAAAAAAACAACACAAAAACCCCTTTTCTTTGCTTAGCTTTGAGAGTCAGAGCACAGGGGAAAGAGAGAGAGATAGAGAGAGATAGAGAGAGAGAGAGAGAATAGGATTGATTGAGGAGTTCTCATCCTCTTACTGGTCCCGATTGCATCCCAGAGGAGACGAAGCCGGAGTTTAAATCATCAAAATCTAAAACCAGGACGTTTGTGGAAACGTGAAGGGACAAAGGTTGGATAAATAATAAATAAATAAACCCAGATTTCATGTGTTTGGGGTTCCAAATCTGACCTACACATCTGTGTCGAACACATCTGGACATAAAAAAATATTCCTTTTTTGTGTTTTTTTTTAGCAAATCAACACTAGAAACACAGGGAAATGCTTTTCTTACAGCTTTAAACCTTTCAAAGTACACCATGGTACATGTTGAGGAAGTCCTAGTTCGAGTTAAAAAAAGAAAAGCAACTATTAATAAAGACTATTTTCACACCATTTACAGAGAAAATAGTTGGTAAGTTGTGAAGTTTTTACTTCATAACTTTCCAACCAACTTACTGTTCGTAACTTACTCATTAACAGAGTTAAACAAAGTTAATGAACTTAGTTAACCCTTTAAAGCCTGATCCAAGAATAAAACAAAACAGAAAATGATTTTTTTTGGTTTGAATTCCTTATTTGGCCTTTTAACAAAATATGTCAGAAGAAAAAACTGAAATACATTTTTAATATTAATAATTTATTACTATGCGATAAGTCAAGATTATTTTTTGTGTAGTCTTCTGCCCCCTGTTATCAGGTGTATCTGATTGTGTACAATAGGATTTTGAGCAAAGTTTTTACCATTAAATTATCCAAAATGTGTGAGACGCAAAACATTTCAGAAACAGTATGAATAAAATATGATACATAATAATATTCCAGCCTTTCACCTGCATGTTGCCCCCCCCCCCTCAGCTTACTCCCCTATCTGTGGAGACGTCGTGGTAGCGTGAGCGTTAGCATGGTAGCGTTAGCATGGTAGTGTTAACGTGGTAGCGTTAGCATGGTAGCGTTAGCATGGTAGCGTTAGCATGGTAGCGTTAGCGTGCCGACGTGGGCACACCTCCCTGAAGAAGTGGGTGGATTGCCTGTGTCTCATTTGCATTTAAAGAGACAGGCACTCCAAAGCGAGCGCTCTGAACGGGGCTGTTTTGGGTTAGGGTTAGGGTTAGGGTTAGGCAGGGGGACTGAACTGCTATTGGGATTCATCCTTATGGGATTTTGATCAAAGCCTGTCACAGACATCACATTAGGACACCAGGGAACTAGCTTAACTTGTTGAAATAGGGTATAATATGACTCCTTTAAAATAGCTGTCTTTAAAACTTCTTTCAAACTGTTTCCAACATCGTTTCATTGCTTAAAAAGGAGAAAAAGCTTCAATCTCATCAATTCTGCATGAAGAATCTGTTGAAATTTAATTGAGATCATTATTTTGTTCACCCAAATGAACTCTTTGAATTTGAAATCTCATAAAAAGTTTACAAAGTGACTTTGAATTGTCTCTTTACTATCTAAAGGGGAACTAGCTTAACTTGTTGAAATAGGGTATAATATGTCTCCTTTAAGCTATTTTTGATTGGTCTGAAATGGATCCACAGTGTGAGATATCAGGAGTGGGATGTTTTTGGGTGTTTTTGGGTCTTTTTGTTTGCTCATAGATGAACGTTCTGGTGTATATTTTCAGGAGAACGGCGTGGAGTTCGAGGCCTGCCTGGTGGCGCAGTGCGACTCCCTGATCGAGGCGCTGACTCGGCAGAAAGCCAAGCTGCTCACCAAAGTCACCAAAGAGAAGGAGTACAAACTGAAGGTGAGACCCACCGGACTATAAATCATCTGCTGAGTGGCTAAGAGAAAAGCTGTTCAAACCTCACAGCATTTCATCCTGTTTTTAATCTCATTTCCTCCAATAATCAGGACGACTTTAGTAACTTCTTGCTCTTTTCTTGCGAGCTGTACTCTACTTGGTTTCGCCTTAACAGACATTTTCACAAAATTCAAACCTAAAATTGATCAGATTTTTCTTCTTTTGTCTTTAACCATCTGGCACAGCTCATTTTTCACTGATCACACTCGGCCAATGGATTAACTGGAGAGAGTGATCCTACCTAGAATAGCTCTGAAATTAAGTTTAAGTATATTATGCCTACATTAAGCATGACTCAGGCACTTCTTTTTTAAATTAAATAAAAAATAGAGTGTGTCATCTCAACATCTGTTATATATATATATATATATATATATATATATATATATATATATATAAA